TCATCAAGATGGAACTTTAAGAAGGCTAACTGGCCTTTATATGAAACTTTCTGTGCTGACAAACTCAAACCTGAACTTTTTCATGATCTTCCTGATGCCATCAAATGTTTTTCAGATGAGCTCAGACACATAGCTGACAAGTGTATCCCAAATCCTCTGCAGTTCCTCATGTACGTAAAACCATGGTTTAACGCTGAATGTAAACAAGCTGCAAGGCACGGAAGAAAGCTGAACATTATTTCCGTCGCCATCCTATGGTCCACAATTTAAACAAATTTAGAATTTTAAACGCCAAAGCACGGCGTACTTTTAAACAAAATAAACGCCAATCTTGGCGTAAACTATGTCTCAAACATCAATTGGCCGCACGCCAATATCAAAGGTGTGGAACATGATTCAGAAAATAAAAGGTAAGGGCTCTAAATCTAGCATTAAGCATATAAAAATGGAGATGAATTATTAACTGATAAATCTGACATAGCAAATAAACTTGGAGAAACTTTGGCCAAACATTCTTCCTCATCTAACTATGTACCTGAATTCCAGAAATATCAAAGACAGCAGGAAAAGAAATCTATTAATTTCAATTCAGACAATGGGAAGACTACAATGAAACCTTTTCGATACATGAGCTTCATACTGCTTGACCAAGTTTCACGATACTGCTTCAGGAGCTGATGGTATACATTATCAACTCCTGAAACATTTACCTGAATCATGTTTAGAGACGCTCTTATCTATTTTTGATGTCATTTGGACATCTGGACAATTTCCTTCGTCGTGGCGCCGATGCTATAATTGTGCCCATCCCTAAACCTGGACGTGATCATACTGATCCTTCCAATTATAGGCCAATTTCATTAACTAGCTGTGTTTGTAAGACCATGGAACGCATGATAAATAATCGACTTGTTTGGTACTTGGAAACCAATAACCTTATAACTAATATACAATGTGGTTTCCGTGAAAACCGTGAGTACCATCGATCATTTAGTGCTTTAGAATCTTTTGTGAAAAATGCCATAATTAATAAACAGCATGCAGTGTCGATCTTTTTCGATTTAGAAAAAGCATACGACACAACATGGAAACATGGGATTTTAAAAGATTTACATGACTTTGGATTACGAGGCCGTTTGCCTCACTTTATATCCAACTTTTTAAATGACAGGCAATTTCAAGTCCGAGTGGGTTCAACCCTGTCTGACCATTACAATCAGGATCAGGGTGTCCCGCAAGGCAGTATTTTGTCTGTCACATTGTTTAGCATTAAGATAAACAGTTTATCCAAGGTTTTAAACGATTCCATTGATGGATCACTTTTTGTGGATGATTTTAATATTTCTTGTCGCGGTAAGAATATGCATACTATTGAACGGCAACTACAGTTGTGTTTAAATAAAATACATAAATGGTGTCTTGAAAACGGCTTTAAATTTTCTAAATCTAAAACTAATTGCATACACTTCTGCCGTAAATATAAACCACATAAAGACCCAGAACTGTTTTTAAATGGCACTCCCATCAAGGTTGTAAAGAGGCCAAGTTCTTAGGTCTCATTTTCGACTCCCATTTAACTTTTCTTCCGCATATCAAATCTCTCAAAACTAAATGCCTGAAGGCACTTGATTTATTGAAAGTCGTGTCTAATTCAAGGTGGGAGGGATCAAGCTACGCTCCTACACCTTTACAGATCACTTGTCCGCTCGAAGCTTGATTATGGCTCCATCGTTTATGGTGGAGCCTGCAAAAGCAACCTAAAACTCTTAGATTCAGTCCACCATCAAGGTCTGAGACTTTGTCTTGGGTCCTTCAGAACATCTCCTGTTGACAGTCTCTACGTCGAGGCAGATGAGCCTTCGCTTACCCAACGCCGATAAAATTGTCATTACAGTATATTACTGAAGCTATATTCTAACGAGTCTAATCCTGCGTTTCACTGCATCTTCACTCCTCTTTATGAGGATTTATATATCAAAAAAGCCTTCACTTGTTCCGCCTCTGGGGCACAGAATTAAACCATTCCTTTCTGCTGCCGGCATTAAGCTGGAGAATATATCTCCTTTTCGTCTTCTTTCTTCTCCTCCTTGGCAATTGGTGAGGCCAGACGTTGACTTAACATTAACCACATTTAAAAAATCCGAAACTAATGATTTACAGTATAAACAAGAATTTAGTCAATTAAAAAAATAAATATAATACCTATAAATCCTTATATACAGATGGATCCAAGGATGGTGGCGCGGTTGCTTGTGCCACTGTCATTGGGTCCAAAACAATATCTTCCAGACTACCCAATGACAGTTCAATTTTCACAGCAGAAGCAAACGCAATACTAACAGCTCTTAAATATATTAATAAACACCGTAAATATAAACAATATATCATCTTTTCAGATTCTCTTTCGTGTCTTCAGGCTATTAAAAATCTTTCTTGCAAACATCCACTTTTATTAGAAATTATTGAATTGTATAATGAGCTTGCTACTGGCCAATGCGACATCGTCTTTTGTTGGTTACCCAGCCACGTTGGCATTTCTGGGAACACGATGGCTGATATTGCTGCTAAGGCAGCCCTCAACAAATCTGTGACACCACTTCTGCTCCCATACTCTGATTATAAAGCTTGCATTAGATCTTACATCCGTGATCTGATGCAAAAGAAGTGGGACACCCAAGTAGGTATTAATAAATTACATGCAATAAAACCCTATATCGGTTACACTTACTTGGGTTGTCAGTCCAGATTTGAAGAGGTCATCATACGACGATGTCGTATTGGCCACACACAAGATATACGCATGAGTACCTATTAAAAGGTGAGGATCCTCCGTTTTGTATCCCTTGTGATGAACGAATCACGGTCAAGCATGTCTTGCTTGACTGTGTTGAGTACTCCATCACAAGGGATATCTATTTCACATCCAAAACACTGAAGGATCTTTTACAAATGTCAGCTCTCATTTAATTCTTGCATTTTTAAAAATTAGATTTGTTGACTGATTTGTAAATAGGTATATATTTTATTATTGGTAGTTTAGATTAGCAACTTAGATTGTTAGTGGCTGTACCCTCAAAGGGGGTTGACGTAGCGTAAAATTATTGTCCTCCTGAGGGGGTACGTAAGTCCCAAAACATTCAAAGTCAATTTAAGAATACCAGGTTTTTAATCGTAGCATTCTTGTAATTTTAATTGTAGCTAACATTCCTTACAATCGCCAGCAGCTGAAGGGATGGTGTAAATCCAACTAGGGTCCATGCAGGTAGCCAAGGTACTGTAAGTCCCCATGGTCCCTAGTTTGGTGATCTACCTTCTGGTGTTGGCGATCTATAGCCCATTTTTACATTGTATTGTCTTCTTTAATTGGAATATTTTAGCTTTTTTCGCTAGTTTTATATTGATATCTGTGATATTCTAGTTGTTTTACTGCCCTTCGTCGGCAGGTTTTTTATAATATACATATATTTCATTCTAATATCGAATGTTCTCGTCACGATATGGCTGAAATATTGCCGATGTGACGTTAAATAATAACTCACTCACTATAAGCCCCTTTATTATAAATGCTAAGATCCCCCTTCAGGAAATATGGTTGACTGGACAGGATTGGGACGAATGTCTCCCACAGTATCTGCAAAACAAAATAAGACAATGGTTAGAACAGCAGACAGAAATACAAACCCTTGAAATACCAAGATGTTTCCGTCTGAGCAGTTGTGTAGAAACAATGCATCTACACTGCTTTGTGGATGCTTCCCAGGATGCATACGGCGCTGCTGTTTATGCTGTTTATACTAAACGACAAAACTTCCAGTAGGCTGGTATCTGCAAAGAGTCGAGTGGCTCCATTGAAAGCCATAAGCATACGTCGTCTTGAATTGATGCCTGCAATCGTTGGTGTTAGACTGGTTTCAGAAATCAGCAGTGTTCTAAAAGTAGATATTGCAACAGTAACATTTTGGTCAGATAGCGTGAATGTTTTGTGTTGGCTTAGAAACAACAGCAGAACATTCAAACCTTTTGTGGCAAACAGAGTCGGAGAGATACATTGTGCCACAAATCCATCACAATGGAGATATGTTCCCTCCATCGACAATCCTGCAGATCTCTTAACAAGAGGTGCCACAGCTTCACAGTTAAAAAACAGTCAGTTGTGGTGGTCAGGGCCTACTTTTCTAACGAAAGGTGAACCTGAATGGCCAACAGACAAAAGTTTGGTATCTGATATTGATGACAGGGAAAGGAAAACACAGGCAGTTACCATGGTTGCAGTTGTGGATCCTGATTCAAACTGGAGGATTGATCCTGCAAGATTTTCCAACTGGAAAAGACTGACTCGTGTGAATGCCTGGGTTTTCAGGTTCATAACTAACTGTTGTGCGCCAGTTGATAGTAGAGTCTCGGGAGAATTATCTGTGGAAGAGCTGGAAGATGCTGCAAACAGAATCATTGTTCAAACTCAACGTGAAGAGTTTTCAAAAGAATATTCGTCCCTGATGTCCAAGAAACCTATACTAGGTTCTTCAAAGATCTCACCACTACACCCACAGTTAGATGAACATGGAGTAATGAGGTCAAGTGGTTCGTTGACAGATGCAGAATGTTTGCCTTATGCGGCACGATTTTCGATTATTCTACCTCGGAGAAGTTGGATAACAAAACTAATTGTGAAATGGTATCATGAGGCTGGCCATCATGTATGAGGGACAAATCAGACTTTGGCAGCATTGTCTTCAAAATATTGGATAGTCTCTGCTAGAGAAGTTATACGTGAATGGGAAAGAGAGTGCTCCCGCTGTCATATAATGAAAGCAAAACCAATTGAACAAGTTATGGCGCCTTTGCCCAAGTTCAGGCTTCAAGTATCACTTCGTGCCTTCAGCAAAATAGCAGTTGATTTTGCAGGTCCGTTCCTCACCATCCATGGCAGAGGAAAAACACGTAACAAACGGTACCTGTGTCTTTTTACTTGTTTATCAACAAGAGCTGTCCATCTAGAAATGGCAAACAGTATGGATACAGATGCATTTCTGAATGCATTCTTTAGGATGGTGAACAGAAGAGGGCTACCATCTGAAGTCATTTCTGACAATGGGACGAACTTTGTCGGAGCTGTCAGGGAACTGAAGCAACTGCTTGATGCATTAGATAAAGGAACCATAACTCGGTCTTTGGCCAACAGGGGAATCAAATGGCACTTTAATCCACCTTATGTGCCACACTTTGGTGGAGTGTTCGAAACTATGATCAAGTCCGCCAAACGTGCCATATTTGCTATTTTAAGCACCAGTGATGTTACAGATGAGGAACTTGGCACCGTTTTCACAGGTGCAGAAGCGCTGATAAACTCACGTCCACTAACGTATCAAAGTGCTCATCCTCTCGATGTCAACCCCCTCACACCGAATCATTTCCTCCATGGACAGATAGGAGGGATGTTTGCACCAGAGTCGACAGACGAGACGGATTACCACCCCAGGAAGAGATGGAGACGACTTCAGGAGCTAGTACGTCATTTCTGGAGGCGATGGATGCGTGAGTGAGTGGCTACCCAGCCTCAATACAAGAAAGAAGTGGACCACCCGGATCTACGTGTCGGCGACGTCGTGATGTTGATATCTTCTGATACAGCAAGAGGACATTGGCCCCTAGGAACAATCGTCAAGATTCATCCCGGAAGTGACAGACACGTCAGAGTGGTGGACGTACAAGTAGGACAGAGTATTCTCACCAGACCGGTGAACAAGATGTGCCCATTGGAATATTCTGCGAGAAGGAGTAGTGAGTGAATTGTTACTTTTGTTTCAGGTGTTTTCCACGGAAGGATTCTGCGGGGGCAAAAGTGAGTTGTGATTCTTTTGTTTCATGTATGTTCTGAACTGAGTATTCAGCGAAGGGTGTGACTTGTGAATTTGTTTCAGGTATCAGTGAACTTTGAACATTTCAGTGTGGACTATTACTGAAGGAGATATTGCTATTGAACTGTTTGAATTGTATTGTATGAATTTCTGCAGGAATGTGATTTCGAGAGACACAACAAGGACAATTCTTGTGGAATGTTATAATCGATTCAGTGTTTATTTCGACAATTGGTAAGTGTAAGCCGAATGTTTACATTACTTCCCATGTTTAGTAAGAATGTTGATTATTTTTAGTTGTTGTCAGTATCCTGCCAAAGAGTGGGGTATGTTCAGGAGGTTTTGCGCGCCCAAACGCGCCAGATGCGTTTCCGGGTGTAACGTGTTGAAAAACACATTTTGCTTCGCGAAAACCACGTGCTTCTCGTGGGGAAACCGCCGACGAGGGGACACGTGACTGCCCTCGGGGGTCGGTTAGATAGCAGAGCTTGTCAGTGTAAGACCTTATTTTGAGACAGCTGAATAAAGTTTGAAACTAACATGACATTTTGGCTTTTCCTTATTATCACAAGGCGTCATATGGCGATGTAGCGATTGGCAGCATTTAGTCACTGCCGGTGTAAGATTGAAAACATACCTGTAAGATTGAAAACATACCCGCGTTGAAAAGGTACCCGGCGGGTACTTTTTCAACATTGAATTATTACCAGGACTCACTTTTCAACGCCCAGGGTCTTTTTTTCAACATTGAATATTTACCCGGCTATTGAAAATTTACCCAGATCACGTATTGAAAAGATACCCTCGTTGAATAATGACCCTCGCTGTTTCTACACTGTCAAGTAAGATACATATGTTAAGATATATACGCGTATGCAACGTACCGGACATCTTTGGTTTGATGCAATGTGCGAAATAGCCACTGGTCCGCTAGTCCGTGGCTAGTAAAATTCCAGTCGGGACAGTAAATCTCCACAGTCACTGGGCCGACTGGCAAGTGAACTTTCATGGGGTGATTTTGAAAACATATAATTCTCTCCGACATGTTAACTTATAATATACTTTTAAATTATGCAAGATTATGGCCTGATAAAAATGTTCATCATATTGGCAGCTTAATGATGAAACCCGTGTCTACATTCAAATTTCGGGCTAGTGATATATTTTGTGGGCTAGAAACTTTCAGGCATTGCTTGCCCGGCTGGTAAGTACAATTTGGAAACTATTTCGCACACACTGGTTGCATGGTGAACATAGACACATTTTAGCTCACCTGGACAAACTTCAGATGAGCTTATGTCGTTGGCTGTATGTCCGTCGTCGTGCGACATCTGTAAACATCATTTCCGAAACTACTTAGCCGATGAGGCTGAAACTTGACATACATGATCCAAACCAAGAGGACACCAAAGGTTGTTAGAGGCATTCCGATCAAATTTCAGATATGGCGACTACAGCGGCCATATACTGAAAATGACATTTTCGCTCTTTAGTCCCCAATTTCTGCAGTGAATCAGCTGAAAGTTGATATATCTGTGCCAGATAGCAAACTCAACAGATTTGCTTTACTTCGCCATTTTACCTGTTTGACCTGTTATTCGGCACGGCCTTTAATTTCAGTTATATCTTTAAAACATGTTCTCTGATACTACTATCTACTTGAGTGATGAAGCTGAACATTTTCATATATCTTCTTGCAATATGTATATGGCCATATTGAAAATGCCATTTTGACTGATTTGTGACTCATTTCTGCAGCAATTCAGCAGAAATTTACTATGTAGGTACTGAATAGTAAGAATCAACAAATATAGTGCGGGTTTTGCTGTGCATCGCATTTTACCTTCATTATAAAATTGCCATCTTGTCTCATTAGTGGTTCATTTTCGGAATTTGTTAAATAGCAATGCGTAACGCATGCATATCATGTTACGGATTTGGCTGTGTGTTTTGTTTTGACCTCTTTCGTTGCGCTAAGCACGTTTCCGTAAACTACAGTGCCATGGCACCATTGTTTCTGATATAGTTGTGTTATTGTAGGTCTATGTCTCTTTTATTAATTGTATCATGGCGAGAGTACTTTTGTACTGTTGAAATTGGACCAGTAGTATGTTGCACGTTTTATAACGTATGACAGAAGTAACTTTGTCAGCGTTCCTTGAATGTTGTATACCGTGCGTGTCAAATCTCGTAGATTGTAGTAGAATTATATAGCATGAACTATTTTCAAGAGTAGATGTCCAATTTTGATAAAACATGTTGATCACACGTTCTTTCTAACTGTGATATGGGTATGTCGTTGTCACAGACAAAACTCAATGTCTGTTTTACTGACACCTATGCGTCTGCTAATGACAATATTCAATACACAACTTCGATCACTGACCACATGCAATTTGAACACCTATCAGGCTATACACCATAAACAAAACGCATTGATTTATGGCCGGAGTTCGGTCGCTGTCACATGATGTAATTACACAAACAGGCAGGTGTGATACTTGTACACATGACATGTTATGATGTCTGTTGATTGCAAAATGTTATACACAAAAAATGAGCATGTATTTACAAAACCCAACATCTCTAAATATACACACACAATGAGCCGTGAGAGCATCTGCAAATGTTGAACCAGCCGTTACACTTGAGTGCACACCCACCCGCTCTGACTGGGTTCGGTATCCCGGGTGCTTCGTTTCTTGGGAAGTAAACCCAAATACAAAATATTGCACTTTTGATTTGCGATTGTACGCTTATAATTATGTTTATATGTGTTTTTTTCATAATCAGCAATGTATATTATATGTGATGAATAAGTGATAATTGTGTTTTAATTATGTTTAATTTTTTGGTTGCATGTGACCTTTAAGTTTATAGCTAATTCCATTTAAGCCTTCTTACTACGAGCTGCAAGCTCTGAGACAACTTGTCTAAGACTACAATTACAAGCGAAAACAAAACATAGATATTTGTAGCAGTTTACCGCTTCAATGTTTCTCTCATCATAAAGCGAGTTTTCCTTAACCGCTAATTTCCCACCTCTCCTAAAAACAAGATTTTTAGTTTTATCTAAATTTACAGTTAATCCCCAGTTATCTGCATACGATTTTAAAGTGTCTAACTGGCACTGAAGACCACCAATAGTCTCTGACACAAGAATTACATCATCCGCAAATAACAACATTAGAATTTCAAGTACATCTGGAAACAATTGGTCTCCATGTTTACCATAATTTGTGATTTCTATACGAAGTTCATTTATAAACAATGAGGATAACATTGGACTCAACATACAACCCTGCCGTAAACCAAATGTACCGTTAACTCGGATTGAACTCTGACACACGATTTCACTGTTTTATATATACTCATGAAAGCGATTTCCAGAGTTTATCTGTATTTACAAAACCAAAAGCTTTTATAAAACATTCTTCTACACAGATTTTTCTCGATGATAGCATACAATGTGAAGATATGGTAAACAACTGAATAGCCCTTCCGAAAACCAGCTTGAGTTTCAGAAGCTTTATCCATAACATTTGCCCATTTTGTTAGTCTTTCATTTAAAACACAAGTATATATTTTCCCGTGTGAGCTGAGTAAAGGAACTATAATTGCTCTACTCCACATTTGTGGGAAACAACCATTTAAAATATTTTATTGAACATTGCTACTCAAAAGGGCATTATTTTAGATTCACTTGTTTTAATCATTTCTATAAGGACGTTATCAATACCTGGAGATGTACCATTTTTCATATGTTGTATCACATGGATTCAAATCACTGTTTGGACACTGTTACGCAGTGGGAAATTGAACTAAAACTACATAAATTTTGACTTACCTTTCAATCAACTAAATGTGAAATCCCCTTATAATCAACTAAACGTGAAATCCCCTTTTTAACGCAATGAGAAATGTGAAATAAACTAATAAATCATGAAGTTTAAACTTAATATGAGGAAACTGTCCATCTAGCAACTGTCAAAATGTTAATGGATAATTCTCTCGACTATGTGAATTTCTATTTCTATTTAATCTATACTTTTCTTGCTAGTTCAACATCTATCACGTGGAAAGATTTACCCATTAACAACCGTCACTAGCCCCTTAAACTGAAAGTTTTAACATCTGTATCATACGCGGTCGACCTTCGCACAGAATCTCGTGCAGCATGAAAAGCTAATGTCCTTGCCGCGCGTGTATTTGTGCTATCAAGTACTGTGTCCGGGAACAGCAGTTCTTCACGGACCCTTCAGAACAGACACTAATTTTAAAAAAATGAAAATCTAGACTTTCGCAATCGTATATTGCTTTCATATGTTATGATTAACATATATTTCAAGTTTGAACAAAATCGGTGAAGAAATGAAATTTTAGAAAATTCTACCTCTACACCCGTTACATCCGTTACATAAAACACACAAGGCGTGACACTCGCGATGCTAGAAACCTGATCGAAATTGGACAGCCCGATTCTACACAAAATATTGTGTTGAGCTTGTAGGTCATGCTTTTACCTTTCTACTCATCGTATTCAATTTGTCTAACTGCATTTCATATTTGACCACTGACCCTCGCATTAGCATACCCTCTGCTTTGAACAAACGTCTGGCTTCTCGTCGGTAAACATCGACAGTTTCCGTGAATCTTGATTGCTATTTAAGCCGTTTCGAGGCAATAACACATATGCCATTTGTAAACAATAACACATATGCCATTTCCAACACCGACATGTGCGTTGATATTTCGTGTCAGCTCGCTGTTGTCTCGAAATAGTACACACAAAACATGGATCTTAACGACCAAATTGCTTGAATATAGTTAGTATTAATGTAGTTTGATTAGGTATAATTCGATGATTTGGTCCCATTTCTTCCGGTTGTATGCTGGAAATAAACTGAACGCCTAGTAATAGTAACTAGAAAATGGTTGTTACCACATTATATAATTAATGATAAATAGATCTAACACATTTGAAACACATAACTGATTAATTCGAAAATTTATTTATGCAAAAGTGTAAGTGTGAAAAAAATAAAAATAAAGAAGAATATATTTATTATTTTTCATACATCATTTCAATATAACATCTATATCTT